TTCCCCGCGCCGATCGGTCGAACCGTTTTCACCCTAACGAGCGCTTTAATTTCTGCCCTCTTTCCACGCCATTTACCGCGGAGAAGGGGCTCGATGAAAATCACGACAGCGTGACACAAATCTTTCGGCCTCATTCGGTTATCTAGCTCGCTGGTTCATTCAGGGATCGCCGGCTCGTTTTACCGTCCCGCGTTCCCTTCTTCTTATTTTCTCCTTCGAAGTTTCCTTCTGTCTGCGATCGAAGCAAGAATAAATTGGAACTCGTCGGGGTTTCGAAGAAAATCGGTGGGGATTTTCTTTATGGGGCTTGCGGTGTTTTCGAGGCGAATTGCTGGCTGGATATTGTAATACTTCGGGGTTCGATAGAAATTTGGAGGTTTCTTTTGGAGATATTGTAATTGTTGGTGTGGAGAAAGTGGTGAGATGTTTGAGATTTGAAGAAGTGGTTTTTTTATTTTAGGAACATTGGAAATTGGGAACGGAGAGTTCTTAGAGGTTTAGGGGATTCTTTGGGGATTTTAAAATTGTGGAAGTGGAGAAGGTGGTTAGAGGTTTGGTGAGGTTTGAAGAAATGATCTTTTGTTTTAGGTATAGTAGAGATTTGGAGAATGTTTGGATATTTGTAGGTTTCTTTGGAGATCTTAGTTAAAGTGGAGAAAGTGGTGGAATGTTTGTTGAGGTTTGAAGAAATGATTTTGTATTTTGGAGCATTGGAAATTTGAAACGTAGAATTCTTAGAGATTTTAAAATCGTTAAAGTAGAGAAATTGCTGAATCTTTGTTGAGGTTTGAAGAACCGATTTCTTATTTTAGGAATATTGGAAATTTGGAATAGAGAATTTTTATTTTATTTGATACCTTAACATCATATGTTTCTATTAACATTTTTGTTCTGGGGAATTTTAGCTATAATAAAGTATCTTTTAATTCTGCTTTCTCACACATTAAACGCTCAAATAAGTATAGAATAAATATTGTTCGAATGACCAGGTTTCAGGATCATATCCCTATGATCCCCCTGAAGGGGCGTTTTATGGCACTTCGATTAAAAGAACAGATACAAGTATCGTATAAAACGAACGAACACTGCCCCATGTTCCAGAAGTAGTAAAATTTTCTGTGAAAGGCTGAATCTCGAGGGTAATCTTGGACAGAGTAACGTGGAATGATTCCCTTTTGATCCCTGCTGAGTCAAGTCTACGTATATTGCGACACGGGGATCGTTTCGCGACTTGGATCATGATCCACTTACCGTAAAAAGTAACAAGAACCCTTCTCGTCCGCTCCCTTTCGCTGCTCTGATTGGCAGGGTTTAGGCAGAGTTGTTTCGGATCAGACTATCGTAAACTGTTCATCGATACTCCGCCACGATTTATCGTTAAATAAAGCCTAGGCTGTATCATCCACAATTTATCCATTCTCAGGGCAGAATTTATAAACACTTTTTAAACACTTACGAATTTTTAACCAATAATTCATCAGCACTTAATATTTCTAATATTTACCCCATGCTTTTAAATCATTAACTTCAGTGTCCTCGTTTATTGTCTCGCATTTGACAAGAACTCAAATTCAAACATAATCGAACTTCGACAAACATAACGCAGTCTTGACTAAATCTCACCTAAGTCATTCAACAGTACAGTAAGTGATATTAAAAATACTTCTATACATAATTTCATAACTGAATCTATAATAAAGCTAGTCTCAAACCTTCGAACAAATCGCAAACAGATTATTCCACCGAACGTGTTCAAAATCCTCCCTCGGTAATTCGAAAATTTCCCTCTGTCTTCCCTCGCAGACTACAAAGCAGTCCTATCCCATCGTCGTCAAGCCATCCATCTTGAAAGACGATAACCACCTTCCTCCAGGAGTATCTTATCGCGAGGGACTATCTCGAGCTAATATTATTTCAACGGGTCGCGTGTATAGCCCCTCACCCGGTACTCAAATCCCTGAAGCTCGATAGGCTTCTAAAAGATTTCGCGGAGGAGCAGTTCCACGGAACCGCGCCGATCACCTGCAGTTGGCCGATGTTTGGATGAACCTGGAAGGCGATCCATCATCTTGTCTTGGAACGAGATTTCCATGGAATCGATCAGCGAACGCCTTTTGTACGCTAGCATGCGCGGAACTCCTTGGGAGCTAACGTTGCGAGCCTCGATACCTTTGTAATCGAATATTCTTCTACGTAAACGCTCCGGATTCCGAATTCTGAAACACGTTGGTCCAGGGTTTGAAAGCTGTCGGTGGATTCCGTAGGGGCAGCTAAGAAGATAACGAAGAGTTAACGTATCTGGGATAAGTGGAAAATGGTTGCTGCAGTAAGCAAATTTTGATTGTTTCTTTTAGTTTCTGAAATGATACTCAAGTTGCCAAAGGTATAATCTAGCTTTTGGAGAAATGTTGTAGCTGCTAAAGCTGTTGTACAGCTGTCAGAGCAATATTGTAACTCTAGAAGCTATAGTCCAGTTCTAGAAGGTATAATCTAGCTCTAGAAGGTATAATCTAGTTCTGGAAGCTATAATGTAACTCTCAAAACACTGTTGAAGCCGCTACAACTGTAATATAGCTATCACAACAATATTGTAGCTTTCGAAGCTGTAATATAGCTATCAAGACAATATTGTAGCTCTCGAAGCTATAATCTAGCTCGCAAAGCAATATTATATCTACTAAAGCTATAATCTACCTCACAAAACACCATTAAAGCTTCCGAAGCTATAGCCCTAGTTCCCAGAACTATGAATCAACCTTTAAAGGTACAATCTAGCTCTGAAATCTAAGCTGCAGCTATAAATTACCTCCGACGGCTAAAATCCAACTCTCAAATCTATAAACCAGCTCTCAGAGCTATAAACTAGCTCCGGAAGCTATAATCTATCTCTCAAAGTGATACTTCGTACAAGATGATGCTACAGTTCCCAAGGCGATACCGTAGCTTCCAAAGCAACCGCAGGATTCTTGGGAACTGCAGTTCCCATCTGTCTCGAACGTGTGTTAACTCGGCTCTAGCGAGTTGTCAAGCGAATTGTCGCGGTGCATTCGGTCGGGTTTACCTAGCAATTAATGCGAGTCGCGCGAATCCTTGAGCAAATAGCCCGGCGAAGCCCTTAGGGCGGCGGGGTTGGCTAGCTAGACGGGAACTCATCGGATCGCCTCGCAGTTCGGACGTGAAATTGGTTTGTCAACCGAGTGAACCTTTCGTGTGTGATCCTCGGGATTCCCGACATCTGGCCAGACGATCGTGAGACAATTCCGTGCGGGTCGCTGGACACGTAAAACGCTCCGTAAGATCCCGGTGAAAGGCGACTGACAAAATGAGGGACAGCCTCCTCTTCCGTTCTCTTGAAAAATCTTGACTCCCCGATTTTTCTTCCGTTGAACGAATCATTTCCGCTGCACGGCAATTTTATATGAATAGTGACTTGAACTAGAAGTGTAGTTTATTAAGCTAGATTAAGAAATTAATGGAGATATCAGGTAGAAACGTGTGTCTCTTAAGTTAGCATTAAGCAAAATAGCTACTAGGTGTGTTGATGACTTAATATCTTAGTTCAATTGAAACTGAGATTATCTTACTATATTTAAGACAATTCTAAATAGCCAGCCTCCAGAGCTAGAAAATATAATTTCTCGAAATATAACCTTGCAAAATTAGATATTAAGCAAAGACAGATGTCCCTTAAGTTAGAATTAATCAAAATAGCTACCATTTGCATTAACAACTTAATATCGTAGTCCAATTCAAACTAAGATCATCTTGCTATGCCTAATACAATCCTAAATAGCCTCCAGAGCTAGGAAATTCCATAATTTCTGAAAATAACGCTCGCATACGAATTTTTTTCGCTGAAACAACCCAGGCGTCGTCATGCAAGTAGCTAAATCCTCTGATATACCGTGTCCTCGCTCTGAGACGTTAAGAAATTCACGTCGACAGAATGCCTGCACGACAATAGCGCTGGCAGGATTGAGGCAGGTCGTCAGCCAGGCAAATACTGGCGCAGAATTTTGACTCGCCATAAATATGCTTCAAAGGGAACATATCCCCTTCAGCCCACGTCGCTGTCTTTTCTTACGTAAACGCCGGGGAAGATATCGGAACACGATCCTGCGGGACTCTTTGATCTGCCATTCTGTCTCTCCACGGGGTGACGTGGGCTACCATTTTCTCTCCCCTCCCCTGCGGCGGCGGGGGGTTATGAATTATCCTGCCAGTATTTTCTTTGGCGTAAGGACGCTACGTTCAGGCAGATTGAACCACGCGACGGGATAATACGCGACCGATGTTTCCGTTAAATTTTACCTGTGTTTGTTGGGGCAAATTGAAAGGAAGAGATTTTCCAGTGGAAAACTGTTACAGTTCCCTTTTTTTTCTTTCATTCTTTCGAGAGGAACAGATTTTTTAGCGAAAAATCATTATGGTTCTTCTTTTATTACTTTTTTGAAAGCAGATTTTTCAGTGAAAAACTGGGTTTTTAACAAACAAAACGATTTTTCAGTGAAAAACTATTACGGTTTCCTTTTCTCTTACTTCGTCGAAAGAGATTTTCCAGTGAAAATTATAGTTTTCGTTTTTTTGATTTCTCTTCGGTAGAATTAGTTGAAACATGTGAATTTACTTGATTATTCAAGATTTTCAAAGGTTTCCGTTGACTTGCCTGTTGCCTGTTCGTCGAATTGTTAACTCTGACACTTTTTGATCAGTCCAGGAATTAGCTCTCGAGATTTCGTGGTTCTTCTGGTGTGGTTTCTGTGACTTTGGGGTTGAACATGAAGTGTATTTGATTTCCAGAGGTTTTGACGAATGGTTCTGGGCTGTGTTAAGTGTATTGATCACAGTAAGTTGCTTAATGTTCATTGTGGAAGCTATTTAGGATCTAAGAATATTATTTGAGGTGCACAGTCTTTTATTAATTAACGTAATTTCATACTATTCAATTCTCATAGAATTTTTTCGACGATACTCATTCCTCCATTTCCTTTCTGTTGCAGAGGGGTAGCGACGAGCTTCTGTCGCAGAGCGGAGCAGTTAGCAATGGTGCTGCAATGAGTCCTCAACCACATCACGCGGCCGACAACAACAATGACGCCAAGAAGGTGAGCGTGAGAACAATCTCTATAAAAACCGACTAATTCATCATACACCAAAATGATTCCACTAAAAATACTCTGGAACGAAATATAATTCATCATTCATTCTCCTCTAACCTAACTTTCTCACTACAGAAATTAACTCTTTGCCTTATAACGACAAACAACTGAACTAAATCTTATCAGTTCAATAATATGCACAGTATTCTCGCGATTAGTACATCCTGTCCGATCTGCAGGATAAGTATCCGATAGTCATCCTCACCACAAAGGGCGAGTCCGCTCGGCAAGCCAAGAAGTTCGATGGTAGAACAGTTGTAATATGACACGCTGTTCAATAGGATAGATATCAGCGAGACAATATTAATGCAATTATAAAACTTTTTCACAAGAGATTTCTTGTAAATGAAATTTTCACTAATGCATTCGTGAGATTCTTCCGATTAAAACGAGACCAAACACGATATACTTTCCTTTACGATCGGTGCCGACAATATGGCGACATGTCCTTTTTCCGAGTGCTGTGTTATTTTACGATCGAGAGGTGTTGTATTTATTATTCTTTGCGGTATTTATTTTCTATCAATTTTCTAATGGTAATCCCAAGAATACTGTACTATACAAATACAACATTCAAAATTCACAACTTCTCCATGCTCAAAGAATTTCCGAAAAGTCCATAAAGCGAAGGGTTAACATTACTAATCAAACCATTTTTCAGCTAAAACAACCCCCAAATCTCCCATCTCGAAATTTCTTCGTCAAAAGGAGATTCGACCTCATCGTCATCCAATGTTCATTCAAATTTCCCATCTCATCGTGTCATATTATTTCCTCTTCCTCCATCTTCTGAATTTCTCTCGCAACGAAGAACCCAGTCCTCTATTTCGTCCTGCAAGGCAGGATTCGCTTGCGCTGGTTCAGCATTGAAACCGGACCTGTTCGTCCTGTGTCCAGCGTTCCCCTCTGACCTACTCGATCTTCCGCGATCCGTCGAAATAGAGGGGAGGATGGAAAAAAAAATGAAATCCGTCGAAAGGACGGACACAGGCCGCACACGAGCCGGCAGGATCAAAGCCGTTTATTCAGCGAGGTCTTCTGAAAAGTGATTCTCGATCGTTTCCCCGCGCGTCCGTTAATTGGCCGGCTCGTACGACCGCGGATAATTGATCCTCCGCCTCTTTCATCTTCCGGCGTGTCCGTATAATGGCGCAGCGCGAATAAAAGTGAATCTCGACGGCGATTTCCCTGTTAAATGATTATCCGTCGTTTCGCGAATTTCTCGCGTTTCTGATACCCGTTGCCGGGAATGGAGGACGTTTCTGTTTATCCTAGTTAGCATTCTATGCGCTTGAAGAGTTAGTCTGCGTAAATATTTCACAGAGATTTCAATAAAAAAGTTCGATTCAAACGAAAAATATGAATCTTTAATTAACTAAGCAACTAGTCGAAGTAAATATATATTTTTAAAATTATTTTTCTATAGGTGATTTATAATAAATATATATGAGTATTAAGAAATATTTATTTTTTAAGTTAGTGTATTTTGTCGAATATATATATATATATTGGTGACACTGATTTTTAAGAGAAATGTCGAATGTCGCCATTATGGCGGCATCGATCGCAAAGGGTTAAATATTCACCCAAACCAAAGCTTTGGTTAATCCATGTTTTAGAATATACCACACACAAATTGATTATTAAATCGGTTTTATTATCTTTTCATTATCTGCAGTTGTTTATATTGTCTGTGTAGTAGAAGTTTATTGATACAGAGAATATTGTAATTATTTTTCGAATTCATTTAACTTTCTGCGATTTATTCTCATGCTTCCACCGTTTGCTTAACAATTTATTAACCTTTTGCATTCGAGAGACGACTCTTAGTGATTTGACTGAATACAATAAAATAATAAAATTTAAAATTCAATATTAAATTTCGTGTAAGGCATCAACACGCGAAGCGAAAGTAAAACAGCTTTGTCTCTTAATTTATGCAAGATTTTCCTTTACGTTAGTTGCGAATATCGTTACCGGTATTTCATCAGGAAACAACGAATATTTATAATATCAAATATTATCGAGTGCAAAGGGTTAATTCGATTACTTCTGAACCATCCAGACAATACTGTAATTATCCTTGGAATTAGTTCCATTGTATATACTCTGCTTTATCGTCATTCTTTGATCCTTTGACTCGCGAACATTTATTTTTCATTTAATCTCGATTTCATTTAAATATTCCGTCCCGTTCCGAAGTATTATCTTTCTGTTAACAATGCCCAATTATTTTGGAAATTATTCCACCCTTCCCTTTGAATATACGACAACGGTGCTTTAATAAATCAAAGGGTTAATTAACCCTTTGACCCGCCATTTCTTCGTTGACTCGAATAACATCCTAACAGCGGAATAAATCCCGTGTTTACCGTGGATGCGCACTCGCTGCAGTATTCGAGTCTTCATAATCTTAAAATAGTATTTACCTTCGATCAACGTGGCCCGAATAATATTCATATGCGTCGACCCCTCGCCGCGTAATATCGAGAGATATTTTCCATCGGATTTAATAAATATGAATATTATACCCGACCCACATCGCTCGAAGGAAAATAATGTTCTCCGTTTATGAATATTTGTCCTTTACAGCAAATTTACTTTCACAGCGACCACACGGCATTGCCTCCCACAGAAAATCATTAGCAACAAAGTGAAAAAACCAGGAATCACCAGTCAAAGAGCGAAACCCATTAGAAATCCTAATAAAATTGAATAAATTCGAATCGAACGGAATTCCAGTGAAATTGCCATTAAAACTACCGATCAGTTAAATTGACCTTTCGAAATTCTTTTATAGGTTATACTTATACTCCAGATAGATTAAAATGTATCTTAACGCATCGCGTACTAGCTAATTTTCAGGAAACTGAATTGTGCGGATGGCGATTTTCAGTGAGATCAACTTATATCACTTGTATCTTATTATGTAATATATTTTAAATAGATAATCGGTAATTAAGTTTAACATGTTTTCCAATACTGTAATTAGCGAAGTTACATAGCCAAGTGTCTATATAAAACCAAGATTTCCCGTTACCAGTATGGAACGTGTTAACACTATTTCTAATCGTTAACTTAATATTATTTTCCAACGTTAGTCGCATAATCTGAATTGACTTTTCTACTCTTCCGATTATATAATTAACAGTAGGGAACGTGCAGAATTCAACGGAGGACAAATAAAAGCGAGAAAAGAATTTTAAGTTCAATTTCAGCTGTCTTTCGACATCTTCGCTAGCAACAGTGTTAAAGTTGACTAGCTCCGTTGTGTACAGACGTCCAGGATCCTAATTCATTGAAGACCGTGACGCCACGTCACGTCAGGTAGCTTCAGTGTTAACTTGTCCCAGCGAACGACACTTTTTCCCATGCAAAGATGTGCGGTCCGCTAATTAACGATGATCCGTTGCGGCAGCTGCCGAAATTAATCTCCCGGACACCTGTTGTTCGTCAGGAATAAAGACTCGTGACAGGAATATGGTAAAGGTTTAGGGCGTGCCCGGACGAATATTAATTAGCTCTGGTCGTTAGCTTCCGGTACCAGGAAAATCAAAGAAAAATGGAGGAGAAATAAAAACTGTTCGAAAATAGACCCAGATCTCGCGGGTTCTTGCTCGTTCCGAAGACAAATGCTTGTTTCCTGGTGAGGGAAAGCGTGCAGCTTCGATTCCGGTGTTTTTGCAACGTCGCGAAATATTTATTATTGTCAGTGACGCGTGACGTAGGTCGCAGGGTGGAAAGGGGAACGATTACGGGAAAAATGTCGGAAGTTTAGGCGTCGCGCGCGATAGACACAGCTGTGCGTTCGTAAGCCGGCGAGTGATGCACGCCTCCGCTGCACCGGGTGCATCAAAGCTCGTTGCACAGGCTCTCGTTAATCATTTCCCCTGGCTAGCTGGAAAAAAGAATGGAACTCGTAAGTCGCTGCCTGCGGTTCTGCTGACGATTTTTCCCTTGGGAACCGGGTTTCTTGGTGCGTTGTCATCGAACAGTTGTTTGGGGATGTTTGTTAACATTAGATCTACCAAGCACTTAAACTGATTTTTCCGAATTCCTTTATAAATCTTATAACCGTGTATTTATTAAGATTTCAATCGGCTTAGATTTCAGTGTAGGTATTACTAAACCAGGTTTTTAAACGATTTCTCAGAGAAGCGTCTGTACCTTTTCAATAATTGTAAAAGAAGAAATCAGGAATGGCTCATTCTGACTCATCTGGTAGTTCTAGTGTTAACACGTTGAATGCCGCACGATTTTCAGGTGCAGAATATGGGAAATGAAGGAAATGCAATTATTTAATTGAATTGTGGTGTTTTAATATTTATATTTTGAAATTCTGGAAGTGTGAGATGCTAGGTACTTTATGATATTGTAGTTTGAAAATCTGTAACAATGCAACTACTTAATTGAATTGTGATGTTTTAATATTTATATTTTGAAGTTCTGGAAGTTTGAGATGCTAGGTACTTTATGATATTATAGTTTCAAAATCTGTGACGTTTCAATTTCTCCATTGTGAATGAATTTCTCATTGTATTATTTCCGATTGATAACGACATTAACACACTTCGAAATTTGTAACAGTTTATTACCTCCATCTAACCACTTCTGAATTTCCAAACGCTACAAATATTATTCTAAAATTCGCAGAATTTAAAGTTTTACACTTAAACAACTCCACAAGCTGCAGCTCCATTACAATTCACACAAAGCTATTCCCCAACAGAAAATGCACACTTCCCGCAACTATTGCGCCTCGGTGCATTGAAAACGCGTTACAAAGCTACCAAAATGTCCCAGGAGGAACACAGCGCACGCAAAAACTGGAAAAAGAAGCCGGCAGAAGGGTAGAGCGAGGTTTCCACGGCCGAAACTAACGATTTTCGCAGAATTTACGCGGCCTGATGTCACGGGGCGCCTCAAATTTCAAACCCGCGAGGCCG